GTAAGGATGTTGAATGTGTAAAGTACCTTTCCTAAGGGCACATCTGGAATATCAGGGGATCGAACCCGGGACCTCTTGGTTATGAGGCAGTCACTCAGACCATTATGCCATGTGATGCCACATGTTTTATTGCATGAAATATTTCCATCCAAAGGGCAGCTGCTGAATGGCAGTTTAGTGTTCATGTTCATGTTTTTTGTTTATTTTCCAGACTGTTTATCCTGGACTTCATACCGCAGTTCAAGAAGGTGTCTGTGTCATCCAACAAACTGTAGTGAGAGACTTCTCAAATGGAAGCAGTCTTCCGTCGGCTAACATTAACTTATTACATGAAGTGAACTGATTGTGTTCATGGCTCTTACAGCAGGTTTCCCTGTCAAAGTGACAGACTTGTTTTTTTTATTTAGCTGTCCAGTGACTAGTTGAAAGCCATGTAGTTAATGCAATTACTGACAGTGGACAGGTTTACAGTGGACAGGTTTACAGTGGACAGCAATTTAGATACATGTATAATATCAACCCCGTACAAGTTCTAGATAGGCACAATATGTAATCAACATACAATGTACCCAATGTCACAAATATGACAATTTTCGTTTAAATTCAACAATAAAATGTAACTATCAATTATAATTTGATACTGCATGTTTTTGTCATCTTCATTTTTCTCATGGACAAATACATTTGTACATGTAAAAGGATGACTGATTTTTTTTGCAAAAAAAATCAAATATACATGTAACGTTATACACATAAAAGCCAGTAGACATTTCGCTATTTCTTATAGATACACTTTAGATTAGTTATGACCTGATTCAGATTGAAATACAATGTACAACTTTTTAGCATGATGCGCGATCATCTGGAAACTTTAGACAATGTACTAGGTAATCTGAAGATACAAATATCAATAATGTAATCATGTGAGAAGTGAACTGAAGACGATCACTTTCGTCAGTGTGTTTGCTTCTGACCTACATGAAGAAGGTGAAGTCTGCCATCTCTGCATTGTCTAAGAATGGATAAATATTTCATACACAACACCTTTCTTCTGTTTCCCTTCTAACCTTAAACATCAGGTTAGGCTGTTACATGACATCAGATTCTAAAACACATATAAATATATG